ACCAACTCTCTGCATCCTCCCTACCTGTATCTGTGCAGCTAATGGAGCTGGAGGAAAACAATTACACCGATTGATCCTACTTTAAATTCATGATCTAAAAAGTCAGGTGGACCATTACCTTATGACTGCCCAACAATCGTATTATACTTCCCCAGTTCACTCATTCTCCTATTCTTCTAGACAAGTACAGCTGACTCTTGTTATTTGCTGCAGTTATGTTCTATAAGGTTGGCACGAACAGTGAATTAATGAATTCTGAACCCATGCTCCTAGGGGAAATACAGAGTTAGGTTACCGGGAGCCTCTGGCCACAATATTTGCATCAACCAATCAGTATATAACCTTGTTTTATGTGTGTTTGTTTGAAGACGTCTTATTTAACACTTATTATGGATTCATTAGCATTGAATGCACAGACAATAGCACTATAACTCATGCCTGAATGAAACTTGTCTAACATACATATTTTCTCCACAAGGCACATAACAGTCTTCTTGCACTTAGGAACACTTGACAGCACTTTAGCGCTATGCTCAGGTGGCATTTTAAATGTCAAAATCACCAATAAAAAGCACAAAAATGAGGCACTAAATAGACCACAAAAAAGATACTTGTTTACAGTATGAGAGCTGAAACAGAAAAGAAGAGCATCACTTTGTTCTGCCTCAGCTGGGGACGTGCATGTTGGGCAACTCATATTTTTCACAGCTCTGAGCATTGCATGTCTGCCAATGACCATGCAAGCACTGAGAGCACTGGTTTAGGGGTTACCAATTAATTTTAGCAAGCAGATGAATTTACAAATATGAAATCCACAAATAAAGAGAATCAGTTATATTTTACATCTTCTCATCTCAAATCTTCAACATCTTCTCCTCTACTCTCACTCAAACTCATGACCTCGTTTCCTACTTCTCTAAGAAAATTGAAGTAATCAGGAGAGAACTTCTGACTCTCACTACCACCCTACCAACCTTCCAGCATCTTCTCCCACATACTCCACCTTCCTGCTCACTACCAGAGATGGATTCTCCTTGTTCCTATTTAAAATCAGCCCCCCTTGCCTGTCTGCGCACTAAGATCCCATACCCTCCCACCTCTCAAGGATATTGCTGTCATTATTCTGCCCTTTCTACCAGACATCAGTTTTTCTCTCTCCTATGTCATTTCCATAAGCATAAAAATATCATTCTCAGGGTTGGTCCCATGGCCTAATGGCTAAGTTTGTCACACTCTGCTTCAGCAACCCAGGTTCAGTTGCCAGGCTCAGACCTACACCACTTGTCAGCATCCATGCTGTGGTGGCAACCCACATACAAAATAGAGGAAGATTGGCACATATGTTAGCTGAGGCTGAATCTTCCTCGAGCCAAAAAAAGAGGAAGATTGGCAACAGATGTTAGCTCAGGGCCAATCTTCCTCAGAAAAAGAAAAAAGAAAATATCATTCTTTCTCCTTTCTTGACAACCTACTGAAGGTTACTTTGCAGTTTTAAGTAAAACTCTTTAAAATATTCATACATTTTGGGAAATATTCCTTTGTCTGTCCTTAATACTAATGAAATAATCAGAAATAAGCACTAAGTAGTATCTAGGAGGTTATTAATTGCAGCAGTATTTATGAAAGCAAACAATTGAAATCAATCTAAATAAACAGTAGAGAGCTGGTTAAATACATACAATAAAATACTATGCAGACATCATAAACTGCAGATTAGTATTTAGTAATACAGAAATCTTCATTATAAAGCAAGTGAAAAGTGTAGATTACTAAACAAATTATGAAATACGGTGCTACTTTTATAAAAATAAAAAATGGATTAATTTTGCCTATGTGGGTTTGCACTCTGAAAAATAACCAGAAAGATATATACCAATATTTTACCCTGGTTAGCCTGACTCCAAAGCTCAGGGTCTTAGCCACTCTGCTAAACTACCAGGTATGGCTGCGCTCAGCTAGACTGAGATGGAAACCCATGGAAGTTACTCTAAATCTTGGCTCAGAAAGGCACTAAAACTATATATGTGTCACTAACTTGTTCCTAGAATGTAAAAAACAACAAGCTAGAGTTGCAATGTCTTCTTTTTCTTTTATAGATACTCCCTTTTTAATTGTGAAACTGGGAATATAATTAAGGGGCGTGTTAAACCCAACAAAATGGCTGCCAAAGAGGTGAGCTGGGATCTCCCTCCCTTCAGCTGAAGGCAGAGACCATGGAGACGCACATCCAAGACGCCTGGTGGGATAAGAACAAACAGCTCTTCAATAGCAAAACCAACCAAGTGTCTCACGACTGTGTTTAAAATAGAAACTGCCATGTTAGAGTAAGTGGAGCCCTTTCTAAAGCAAGCGAGGGGTGTGTTTGCAGTCTGTTGAAAAGTTCAAAGCCAGACTTCCATCTCGACAGCTGTTTTGCCTCTCACGAATCACCACCACGGCTGCTCCCCAGCTAATACACACCAGATATTTGGAGAGGTGGACAAAATTTCCCCAAATCCATCCTAATTCCCCAAAAGAATTAAGACCTATTGCATTCTAAAAGTCAGCTTTATACAGCATTAAACAACAGTATATCACATAGGGAGAAAATAAGACTAAACAGTAGAATTTAAATTTAACACTACTTCCATTTTCAGAGAGCTTAAGCAAATTACATTTCTCGTTTTCCTACAGAATAGGAAGAGGCGCTACCGTTGCTCTGTTTTACAGGTGAAGAAAGCATGGCTCAAAGAGATTAAGTGCCTTATTCAGGCCCATTTCTGAGAAGATGCCAGGGCAGAAGGCCAGGTCTGCTGCTCCTTGTTTGCTCTTGGCAGCATGCCTTGCTGCTGAATGTCTTTTCTGGCCTTTGAAGACACGCACCCCAAAGCAATCGCAGCCCATCACCCCACCCCCTTTTCTCTGCCCACCCTAACCCCACACCACTGTTCATTCACATGTTCCAGAAACCCTTTCCACTCTGCCCTGCAAGCTCCACATCAGTCAAGTTCAAGACCTAGATTCTGCCTTTATAGAAAACACATGTTTAGGTTACACAGGTGTTTGTTTAATAATTATTATTTCAACCATACAGATGGTATTATGTATTTTGCATTGTATCTCTAAAAACAAAGTAAAAATAAAGATGATGAGGAAAATAGTTAACTGTTGGTATTTTTTAAAGTTATGTCCTCCATCAACAAAATGAAAAGGCAATCTACTGAATGGGAGAAAATATTTGAAATTATATATCTGATAAGTGGTTAACATCCAAAATATATATATAACTCATACAACTCAATAGCAAAAAAGATCTGATTAAAAAATGGGCAGAGGACCTGAGTAGATATTTTTCCAAAGAGGATATACAGATGGCCAGTGGGTACATGAAAAGGTGCTCAATAGCACTAATCATCAGGGAAATGCAAACAAAAACCACAATGAGATATCACCTCACACCTGTTACAATGGCTGTTTTCCAAAAGACAAGAGATAACAAGTGTTGGCAAGGATGTGGGAAAAAAAAGGAAACCCTTGTGTGCTGTTGAGAGGACTGTAAATTGGTGCAGCCACTACGGAAAACAGTATGGAATGTCCTCAAAAAAAGTAAAAATAGAACTACCATATGATCTAGCAATTCCACTTCTGAGTATTGACCCAAAGAAAACAGAAAACACTAACTTAAAAAGATACATGCTCCTCTGTGTTCGCTGCAACATTATTTACAATAGCCAAGGTACAGGTACCACCTAAGTGCCCATCAGTGGGTGAATGGATAAAGAAAATGAGGTGTATGTGTGTGTGTGTGTGTATATATATATATATATATATATTTAGGAATATTATTCAGCCATAAAAAAGAATGAAATCTGCCTTTGTGACAACATGGATGGAATTTGAGGGCATTATGCTAAGTGAAATAAGTCAGACAGGGAAAGACAAATACTATATGCTCTCACTTATATGTGGAACCTAAAAACAAAAACAAAACAAAACAAAAAAACCCCAAGCTCATAGATACAGAGAATAGATTGGTAGTTGCTAGAGGTGGGGGTTGGGGAGTAAGTGAAAGGAATGAAATGGGTCAAAAGGTACAAACTTCCATTTATAAAATAAGTCCTGGAGATGTAATTTACAGCATGATGACTGTAGTTAATAGTACCGCGTTGCATATTTGAAAGTAGCTAAGAAAGTGAATCCTAAAATTTCTCATCACAAGAAAAAAAATTGTAACTGTGTGGTGATGGATGCTAACCACTTTGTTATGGTGATCATTTTGCAATATATACAAAGATCGAATTATTATGTTGTACACTTGAAACTAATATAATATGTCAATGATACCTCAATAAAATAACTAGACTAATAAATAAAAGCACAAACTACCAAATCTTGCCCAATATGAAATGGATAATTTGAATAGCCTTGTAACTAATAAAGAAATTGAATTTGTAATATTAAAAACTTCAGAAAAAAGAAATCTCCAAGCTTGATGATTTTACAGCAGAATTAAAACAAATGCTTGAAGAATTAACACCATTCTACACAATCTTTTCCAGAAAATGAAGATGAGGGAACACTTCCCAATTCATTTTATGACACTGATATTAACCTGATACCAAAACCAGGCAAAAATAGAACAAAAAGAAAACTATAGAGCAACGTTCCTTGTGAAAAAAATTTTTTAAATAAAATTACATCCTTTTCTGTCCCTTATCTGTTAGCGGGTCATGAATTTTGATTCCTTCATCACCCAAGTCTTTGCTCAGGTTCCTGAGCCATGTCCAGTCAGCCTCCCTCTCTGCCCATGACCTTTCCACCTGGCTCTGTATCAACATTCTACCCTCTGCAGAAATGAGGCTCTCTGGAGTGCTGCCCACTTGGGCTTGTAAACTCTGGGCACCTAGTCTTGACATCCACCCAATCTGACTACGGGCATAGAGAAATACATAGAATTCTTTCCTTTAGGATTTTATGTGAAAATAGTGAAACAATATACTTAAATATGATTGAACACGTACTGTGAAATGAAAACTATACGTAGTTTGTTACACACATGTGAAAGGGCATTTTCATCCAGGCCACAGCTGAGGAATCTTAGAACTCATGAACTCTGACCCAGAGGTCAGCTGGGATGCTTCAGGTAGACAGCTTCTTAACTGTCATAGAACACTGGGGACGTTCTTAACTGTCACCGACAGCACTGCCCAGTCATATCTCTTGGTGCACCTGATGGAGCAGGAACCCTGTAGGGACATTTGAAACTGATGTATTCAGGCATTTCTGCTAGACTGAGTGTCCCCAAAGGGAACCAGACTGAAGGGAAGAAGTCTAGGAGTCCTTAGAGAAAATCCCTGTGATTAAACATGTTTCGTCGATTGGATGTGACGGAGCGGCAGGAAACGTCAGCCAGATAGCAGAGATGTCCTCTGCATCCCTGAGCCAGCTTCTCTGCCCACCTACCCCTCCCCTTCTCCCCTTCCTCAGGGAAAGAGTAGGCTCCAGAGAGGGGAGGGCTGTGGTCCAGAGGAAGCTGAGCTCCAATACCAGTGGAGTGGTGATCCAGAGATGGGCAGCAGTGTGGGGAGTGGCCTCTGTGAGAGGAGACTGACTGGAGCGTGGAGATGGGGCAGAGGGAGTGCAAAGCCTGTGGGCTTTGCTTTTGGGATATAAGTCACCGAGTCTCCTTCCAGGTACTTTTGGAAGAAAAGTGAACATTCCTTCCTAGAAGTAGGAATATTCAGACTACAATGAAAGCATGTTTAGAAATCCTGAAGAACATTTTGGAAGAGGGATCATGAAAGGGGAAAAATAGAATTGTTGCTGGGAGGCCAGAGCAGGGAGAAGGGCGGGTCTACCACAAGTGGGGAGTGTGTGCGCTCAGTGGCTGTAAATCAAAAAGGGTATCTAATGGGCGGTGGTATGAATCTGGAACTCTTCCCCATTAAGGGATGGATGATAACCCCTAGCCCGGGGGGGTTATGAAACCATCCTGATCCAGTCTGGATCCTCCTCCTCGTGTCCTGCGTGTCTATGTGCTATGGATGAGATCCTCATTGAGTAGACCTCCTCGCTTTGGTGCCTTTATTTCTGAGACCTGAACTTGGCTTAGGCAGTTGCTCACAGAAAAGCTTGGAAGTATAATGCCCTTCCCATTTATTTCATGGCAGGCTCTGCTTCCCTGTGCTGTGCTCTGTGAGGTTTGCTGTGGCCAAGGGGGGCCCTCCCTCTCCAGCCTATGTTGGCTGTGTCTGTTTCTGTGTTCTCTTTGGCAACTGCATTCTCACTTTGGGACCCAGCTTCTTCCTACATGTTGTGGTAATCAGAGAGGTGTTTTAAATCCAGCTCAGCTGCTGAATATCAGCATAAAAGTGTTCCTATTGGATCAAACATGGGGATGGGGTTAAAATTTTAACATAAAAGGTCAGTTCCTGCTTGAAATTTGAGGTGAAAAGTGTTCCCCTCTAGTCCAAAACATGGAAACCAATCCATTCCTTATGCAGCCGTAGGCAGTAAACCCCTCTCTAGCCTCCCACCCCATCCCCTTGCCATAGTAACTGACAGCAAATATATTTCGCCAATTTTGTGCCTGTAGTTAATGCAAACCTCCACAGGGCAGGTCGTCAGACTTCCCTGCCCAGTTCTGGTCATTTTGCTTCTTTGTTTCTTAACTTGCCACCTGGTACGTTGATACCTAACCTGTGGGTAACCTGGTTACCAACCTTGTCTAGACTCTTGCTGCCCTTCCTTGTTGTTCCCTTCAGAGGAGCAGGAGGACCCAGATAACAGGAGTCTAGCTTCACAAGAGGAAGGGTCTGGAAGGTGGCATAGTCTAGACATTGAACTCTAGAAGTCTACATAGACACATTCAGAGTTTGGAAATCCAGGTTTCTGGAGCCATAGGGCCCTCTGGGGTGGAAGTTGACACCTTTGGCAAAGGCCCCATGTGCTTAAGAAAAGCACACAGCTTCCGGTTCTTATTCTGCCGGATTGGTTGGGTGAATTTGGGCAGGTCACTGACTTTCTAGCCTTGGTTATTTATCCAGAATTCGAGGAGGCTGGGGAAAAGCTGGAGAGGGGGATCACCTGGGAGCTGTGAGTCTGAAGATCCAAAGGCAGGGGTGAGAGGGACCGGCAGGAGGTGCTGAGACGGCTCAGGCTGAGGGCATCAGCTCTGTGCACCGTTTTACTCAATCTGCCACATCTGTGTGGCCGTTGAAAGCTCTTGATGCTGACATTTTTCTGTGTCTCTTGACTTCTGGAGCTCATTAAGCTGCTGGCTTCCAAGACTCTCGGGAGTCCTAAAAGAATCCTGAGGCTACTCTATCCAGCGAAGGGCACTTCTCCATATCTGTTTTCTTTACCTTCATCTCCCCTAGCATGTTGAACAGCATCGAGTAGAAACCTTCCCAGCTGTAGAAAAAAGATCTTAAAGTCTGAGGCAAGAGCAGCCTCATTTTGTTATTTTTCTCTCTTTTGATTATTTTTATTTTTAATTTAAAAAGCATTTTTAATTGAAAAAATGCATACTTTACGAGGTAAATGGCACTCTCCCACTTAAAACCTTAGATAATCCCTCATTGTCAACAAGTTAAACTAGGCATGAAATTCACGATTCTTCACGATCTGGCCCAAACTTTCCTTTCCAGTGTAATCTCCTGTCACTTTCTCCCACTCTAATTACTCTGGCTCCTTCAGAGAGCTTTGAACATGTGAAATACTCTCTTGCCTCTGTATTGTTGCTTATGTTGCTGCTTCTTCCCTCTCCTCTGCCTATAAAGCATGCCTCTACCATAATTTCTTCAATGTTACCTTGCTACCCCTCCTACCTCTTTCCTTCTTGAAAGGCACCTGTCCCCTCTGCTCCGCACTCCTGGAAGTCTACTTCACTTATTCTCATTTTTGTATACAATCTTATTTAACTTTTCTGTGTGTCTCATCTTCCCAACTATTAAAAGGTTTAGGGCAATAGAGATGGTTCTTACATTTCTTTTATACCCCCCATGTTGCTTGACACTGTAAACTTATGTAGCTGTTCCATAAATGTTGAAATACAGGAAAAGAAAGCATACCGACCAATCCATTTGAAGATGTGCCAACCTTAAGTTTTCTTTCTAAACCTGCCATATCTATATCTTGACGGAGTACTTTTCCATCCTTGCATGTCCTCTCTGCCTTTGGCAGTCAAGTCAGTTGATCAACACGGATGATATAATTACATGTCCACTTCATAGGCAGGAGGCAACTGAAGCCAGTTTTCCAGTTATAAACCAAGGAGAGCCAAAATCTTCTCAACATTGTTTTCAGGATGCCTGAATGTGTCACACTGAGGTTAGACTAAAACATCAAGAAAAGAAAAAACAAGGAGTGGCCTGAAACTATGCCTATAGAGAATGAGGTCAAGAATTAGCATCTATCCAGTTAATCTTATTTTAGATAGACAAATTGTATTATTCAAAGTTTAAAATAGAGTTTTTGAGAAAATTGACAAAGTAGATAACTTAATACAGCTCTTAATTCTCTGGATGTCTTTTAAGTGACAAATTAAATCTCAGACGTATTGGTTTATCTACCTTCTCAAAAGAAATCCAGCTGATCCCCTCTCAGTGATTTCCCTCAGGAGTAAGAGATGAGAAAGATTTATTATGGGTAATTGAAGGGTAATTGGAGAATTGAAAGCAGAATGATTTTTAAAGTACTAAGGAAGCTACTGATAGCATTTCAGATCATTCTTCCCGACTATTCCCAGAACATACATTTGCATAACGTAGGTACTAATGTGCATCAGAACACGAACACACAGTGTATGCCCTTAAATTGGAAAAAATAGACTTCAAATGAATGCTGTACTTTTCTTGACTTGAGAATACCTTCAATACCAAGCTACGAAATTCTGCAAAATCATTAACACTGTACTGGATGACGTCTACTCATATCCTTTCCTGCATTCTTCAAGCTTTCAAGATTAGACAAAAAAAAAAAAAACTACCTTAGTTAGGATAAATTCATCCTGCTGAGAAATACAAATTTTTCCAAAGTAAAACTAAGCCATGAGTTCAACCAGTCATCAAGGTCTGGGGATTATGAAGATTCCCGGCTCTTCGGCTATTGCTTATTTCCCAGAAACATCAAAAGACATCAGTTTTTGTTATCCTTAACATAATTAAACCTATTTGATTCAAGAACCCTGAAAGGTAGTCATGCACATGATAATCACACCCTAAATCTTTTTTATTCTAGACAGACACTGAAGAGCATTGCAGAAATGGTCCATGACCATGGGTTTTTAATGCTAAAGTCAAGTTCAACTGGATGAAATTTAAGTCACCAAGAAGACAATTTATAGTATCATCTGATTTTTCACCTTGTTAGTATATGGTTTCCAGAAATGAGGACATGGAAGGATAGCATATGTTTTCTTACATTTTTACCTGTAAAGCTCTGCTAACTCCTCTCCCTAACCCCCTGTCTCTTGCCCTCTAATCGATTCTCCACAATGCAAGCCAAAGCATCTCTCTCAAGTGCATATCTGATCACCTCACTTCCCTCTTTAGAATCCCTCAAAGGTCCCTCCATTGCTTCTAGGATGAAGTCCAAATTCCTTATCTTGGCTTACAGACCCTGCTGGATCCGGCCCTGGCTTCTCTCTCCAATTTTCTATCTTTACCACCTATCACTGCCTACCGTCACCACACATCTCCTCTGCTTTCCAACTACACTGAAAACCCTTTCTCCTCTATGGTCTCTTGTCTCCACGTCTTCAGCATCTTGTTCCCTCCTACTCCTGTTCTATCCTACATCCTCCTTTAATTTAGACTTGACTTCATATACATATGTTTGCACAGACACATGTAAGAATGAATGCATAGAGTGGTGTGAAGAATAAGATTTAACTCTTAACTACTACATACTACAAATTCTGTAGTGATTTTACAGGCCAACATGTAACTTGTAACTCTAAACACCGTCATTTTCTGTCTTGATTACCACCCCCACTCCACCAAGTCAGTTTGAATGTTTGACATATTATGAAATAAGCTGTGTTTCAAATTGAAAGCAACTCTAATATGTAGGCTGTTCTGGCCATCTCTCTTGAAGTCTTTAATTGTACACTGATGAGATTAGATGTGATAGCTCCATCTGTCTGTGTTTGATTTGG